TGTAATGCGGTTCTCAGACTGTGCCATTTTCTCTTCATTGTCTCCTTTTACTCAATAATTTGCTTGGATTGTTATCATATCATATGGTGGCCGACTCTGAGACTGCGTCGCGTCAGCTATCCTTCTGCTTCATTCACAATTGTGGATGCACTTCTTGAAGTCATATTTCCATCACTGGTAGTATGTTCGTGTTTTATGCATGAATCGACAATAGCGGGATTACTTGGGTTATTTTAAAGATTTGAAACGTTCAGAAATAGGGCTTCTTGGGGTCCTTGAAGTGTACTGGTTTATTAGCATAGAGTCATTCTCTCCTTTCTCACGAACATTAGCATACTATTTTTCAGTCTTCTATCCATAGAATTACTTCAAAACTGCGTTTCAGAATGTGAAAATGGCACTGATTTGCCTCGAGCTTATTTTGGGGGTAAGAAAACTCCAACAGATCTGTGTGTTTACGAATTACTTCCTTGCTGAATTGAATAATTTTTTTATCAAGTGTACCTCCGTTACCTATTTTAGTATTTGGTATTTAGCGTATAGATCTAGATTGGTTTTTAAGAATTCACATGGTTGAAATTTAGACCACCCTGAATGTCTCAAAAATTTCACTTGCATTGAGTCATTCGTTCACTCTCTCCCCCTCTCGTGTGTTGGTCTGGTTATCTAACCATCTAATCTGGACAAACTGTTATACATCTAATCCTGTTGCTCAACTTACCCTCTTCCGCCATTTCGTCACTTTCTCAATTATATCCATTCCAAATAGTCCATCTATGTGTTCTTCAAATTAAGAATACGGTTAACACAAGGGAGTATCTTTCTTTTAAACAGTTTTTTGCTCAATTTGGATGCCTGCTCGAACTGATGCTGGTCTTCTTCGAACATTTTGTTGTCTTTATTGTTTCTTTCCACTTCTGACTTCTTCTGCTCTGAATTCTCGGAGCTGTATTTAGCGGAGACCTTTGTTTCTAAATTTCTGCCCTTCATGGAATAATTTTGAATAAGAGTGGTCATCACCCTCCTTATCTTTATTGCAACCTTGGTCCTTTGGCGTTTGAGTGGTTGTGTGTGTTAGTACATTGAATTCTTCCCACTCATCACACCCTAATTTAACTCACTTAGAGCTCAACTAATATAGCACTTAAAATTGTCCATCGTGTTGCGATAATCTCTCATTGATTTGCCGTCAGAATGACATATGGAAAGGATGTTTGAGGTGTTCTTCTTAAACAGCCTTTAGATTTGTCTACCTTTAATGAATCAAGTCAAAAGTGTGTTGTCCCCCTTGATGGGAGGGGGTGGGTGGGGTGGGGCATGTGTAAGTCCTGTATCTTCCTCCTATGCTTTTAAATGTGTGATGATGGCGAGGCAATGATGAGATCACGAGAAATCTAGATCCACTTTCACGGTGTACATTCACATAATCAATATGACACCTGATCATTGTAAGGGCAGAATATGAGTTGCAAAAATCACCGATTTGTGGTAGTCCTATAATTAAGTTATATCCATAATTTGAGTTGGAATAGGGAAATAGAAGTCTAGGAAATTTAGTTTATGTTGCTGATGTTTTCTTCTATTTTTATTACTTGACTCCCTCATAATTCAAATCAAAAATGGTCTCATTTGGGTAATAAAATGGTTTTCAATCTTATTTTTATTAGGGGAAATAAAAGAGTATAATTTAAATAAAAAATAAGTCAGTCCCTGCCATTTTTCCCTTGGCGCCTGACCTCGAGTGTTTAAATAGTGCAAAATTTAATAGGCTTAATTGCAGATCTTCCTCGAGATTATATCATGTGAATTTGAACAAAACAGTGTTGCTATTCATTGGCGTTTACTGGATCAAATGTATTGTGTTTAAGCATACAACCATTTATTTATACCAAATGGCAGGCGTTTTGATAGTTATCGTTAGCCCTTTAGTTGACTTCAGGCTTCACAGAGGGGAGGAGGAACATCAAAGTGAAAAAAAGTCGAGAGGGGGGAGGGGAATAGAAGAGTATTTCAAAGATGTAAAAGAGACAGACACAAAAGTAAATGAAAGGTGAGGTGAGCACTGTGAAAGGGGTCGGATATGACATACAGTGGGGTGATGGTAGTTTGAAGTCAGAAGTCGACTGCCGATTAATAGACTTTATTGCTGTATGAGTATACCTTGTCTAGGGTGCACCACGTGGAGGTAGGTCTATTGAACACCCCTAAGCATACATCGAAGATTGAGTTATAGCGCCTCACCAACTTTTAAAGCTTTCCCATAGTGTAATCTTTTCTCCTGAAGGATTGTTAATTAGCGAGAGATCAAGGTTTATTTATCTCTAAATAACCCGACGAGTTGACAGGACAAACACGTCTGTTAGGCCTATTTTCCACTCAGGAGTCCCCATGATTGTTGAGAATTGCCATTCAGCCGTTTTCTCCACTCTATTGAAGTGTTCCACTGTTGTTGGTATAACGTCGTAAATAAATAAAGAGTATACTCTGATGAATTGCCATTAATTGCAACTTTTTTGCTTTGAAATTGCCCCCCCCCCTTTCAAGTCTTTCAGTTACGATCAAGAGAATTGATTGCCGTTGTTACTCCTACGCACTCTATTGATTAATTAATGTATTAGCACATTTTGCACGTGGCGTCTATCACGATGATGATGGTGTGGTCTGATGACACATTTGGAATATTACATCAAGTCAACGTGTAATGAGAGGAGGGCAGAGGCGCGGCCGTTCTAGAAGCTACGCTTCTTTTGCTTGTGAATTTTTCGGATTCGCGCGTGAACTTGCATAAACGCATATGTCCTCACTCCTTTCTACTTTTCATTTTTTCGATACTGTGTTATCGCCACTCTGCTTAAAATGCTCTTTCAGTAGTAGCATATGTAGCCTGAATATATGGTTTGAGTTATTGCCGATTTTTTTTAGGAATTGTAAGCAGTTATTGTTGAACACACATTGTATGATAATGATATTATTGCTGCCCTTTCCGGAGCAGGTATTTATCTGAAGTAATTTTCAAGCTTATTTGAATCTACTTAACTTTATACGAAGCACATGGAGGTGCTGTAGGAGAACTGGTAATTTATACAAATTGCGCTTTTTCCGTAGTATTTAAGTCCCCTAAACGAGTTCATTGTGAGGTGGTTAGAAACGGAGTACAACTTTTGCTATATATATATATATATATATATATATATATATATATAATTAATTTTAGCATACACCTCTGTTAAGATCTCAACCCCCACCCCCACTATCTTTCTACTTTAGCGGTGACGACTATATACGAAGCAGCCTTCAGTTGTTCCGTAGTTATAATTTTGAGATTACTCTTATTATTATCTACTTTGCACGAAGTATTAAGCTACATTTCATATTGAGGATTCGCTATGTATATGCCCTATTAATAAAATCGATTTCGAATGTAAATAGTGCGTCCCCCCCCGCTTGTGATTGGTTAATTTCCTTTTTTGGTGATTCTCCCTTGAGGCATTTAATTGTGACATGGCGTTAACCTGTGGATAAGAGGAAAACGCAATGAATCCGGTCTGTTATATCTTTACTTGCATTTTCAGGGTTGCCTTTTTTTCCACGGACACGTTGTGGTTACGCAATTTCCATTCTCTATCTCTCAGTGTGAACCAATTCTTGACTATCATCTCTATGTGGCTGGTTTGCTAATCTGGGTCACAGTTGATGCATCACCCATTTGCTATCTGCTCATGTGCTTATAAATCAATCCGTAGTTTTGCTGTGACTAAATTTGGACTATTTTTGCTGCAATTTTGTATAGTTTATGAGTAAGTTTATTAAATAGCGCTTCAATTTCATTTTAAGATAATTTCGGGATGAGGTATTGAGAATGGCGGTATTGTACGGCGGGGGGTGGGGTGAGTAGGGGGTATATCATCGTGAGCGTTTGATTGGTCGAGATGTTGTGTAACCTGGTTAATCAATGAGTATGCAATTCCTCTAATCAGCAACTGATTGAAGGTGATGTTAGTGCTTGGGATAAATGAGTTCCCCGCCCTATTGAGTGTGTAACATCACGAGGCATTTGAAAAGGCTTTCGTACTCGGCCACTGCATTTGTCTGTCAAACGTTGCTAGTTAATACGATCAGCCATTCGGCTCAGCAGGCTTGCTTCAGTGAATTTCGTTCTGTGATCTTTGATTTCACTGAATGGTGTACTTTCCCTTTCCACCAACCTGCACGTAGTCCTCGAGATACATCACTCCTTTGATCTATCCGGATTACGAGAAGTGTGACTTTGAATTTCACATGAGATAGTTTTTGCATATATATTTTAACATGCATTTTCGTATTGTTTTTTTCACCAGCTGTGTATTCAAACAGCTGATTTCCAGGTCCCATTGTTGTGGTATTGTGGTTCTCAGTGTCTATCTATATTTTGCAAAATCCACTGAGATACGGTATCTTCAGATATATTCCATTAATATATTTACACATTTGCAATGTGCCCACTACTCTTGTACCGGGGCTTTCCGAAAATTCGCCCAGGGTGGTTAAACAGAAAATTCCTCTTTACGGGTCACTTATTTGGATGGGCAAACACTTTCAGAAAGGCCCCGGTATGAAGTTTTGTCACGTTCTCTTAATTATGGCAATGTCTATAGCGCAATTTTTATGGGAAGTCGCATTTTAACAACCCTGCCTACCTCTTCTTCCCCTCCTCCTCCAGGTATTTGTGCACACTTTTACGCGTCTAAGTGCTTTCGCACTGGTTGACGGATGTCACTTGCACACAAATGTGCTGGTGGATTTTCCCTCTCACCCCCCCCCCCCCCCCCCCCCCCCCCCCCCACCCCACCCCTCCTCCCTCCCTTGTGGCAATTGCCCTCCATTTGGTGTTTGAAATCAACCTAGGCAAAAAGATCACACTTGTGTACGTCATTTACGAAAAAATCACCTCAAATTTGGTTATTATCAGATGAGTATAAAAGTGGAATCTTTAGTGAGGTGATACACTAAAGAGATTAATAATTACATATTCATTTATTAAAGTTTATTGTTTCTGTAGTATTGCTTCTAATTCAAGTGTTATTTTCTCAAATTGAAGGCGTTTTGCCCTCTTTTACGGATGCTATAAGTATACATTACTTTACTTACTATCCTTTTTTTACTATTTACAGGCGTCCCATTTCCACCAAACTTCCTGAAGATAGCGAAGGAGATTCTAAAGCGTCTCTTCCGCGTCTACGCCCACATCTACAATCTCCATTTTCGAGAGGTACAACTTCTTGACGAGGCCACTCATCTCAACACATCTTTCAAGCATTTCGTATACTTTGTACTTGTAAGTAGCAGTGTTCGTTTTTGCTTTTTCCAGCTGTCTTTGCAGTTTACCCATTCAATGGTTCATATCCCTAGTTCAAAAAGCTCTGTTGCTTGTTCCGTTCCGAAGGTGAAAAGATAAAAGAAGCCAGAAAGTTAATAGTTCATCATTAAAAATAGGTCCTGTTAACCACTACTACTAACTATATATCAGTAGAAATATTTCTACAATTAGGAATTCGATCTGGTTCCACCAATTGAACTAGAAGCCCTACAACTTGTGATTGACGCTCTGACAGCACCAAAACCTGAACGACCTCATGCTAGTGGAAGCAGTCACCATCAATCCAGTGGTGGCGGTAAAAATCAACCACCCAATGGTGTTATCCAGTCCGAACCTCTCCCTCCCTCCCCATCATCTGCCAATCGAAATTGAGGACTCCACCCTCTCACCCCATCTCCCTCACTTTCATTCTCACCAATGACCAATGAACTAACTGATTTTGCACCATCCTTTTCGTGTCTTCGATCAATCCACCACCAGATTGATTGATTGACCAGGGTAAATGTGGATTCGTGTGCCTTGACTTTTTCTTCCTATTGTACCTTGTCGTCTACTCTTCGCAAGCTATTTTGTTTTCTGAAGGATGACAATTCTAATGATCTGACTCTTTATCGCTTTGACTTTTCTCAAACAAAATAGGACGTTAAAAATGCAAACTCCTGCATTTAACTGACACGTTCATTATTTTGGCATGATTTTAAGCTTCTACGTTTGGTTTATGTGGATTGCTTTGTTGGTGGTTGTTCATTCCGAAAAGTGCTATGCCTGTTGACTTGTAAATTATCATTTAAGTAAAAGGGTTTTAAATGAGGTACAATAATGAGGGCGATCCGAAAATTGCAATGACGACTCATTAAATTCTCAGATAAATAGGATGGAGTTATTGCAAAAACTCGCATTTACAAGGACATATCTACATAATGGCTAATTCAAATGCCA